CTCAGGCCACGTCTACATGGGACAAATGAACTGGCCTCCCCTTGTCCACTCAGTGGGGAGTCTGGACACAAACAAACCGGACGACATCTGGCTTGTTCTGTGCCAAACTTAGGGCACCCTTCTGGATATGGGTTTAAAAAGTCCGTTTGCTCTGCATTTTCCCGGAAGATCTGGATCTCTCTGTTTCAGTGTGGGGCAGCTGTCCACACACGAGTCTCTTTATACCTCTTGGCACATCTTCTGCCACCGTGAGTTGCTTGCTCTGACCTCAGAGCGAAGTGACCCACAATGGTGGGGGACACACACCGGATGGTCCAGCAGGCTGTGCATGCGAGAAACCACCCAGTTTTACAATGGAGGATTGGGTAATGGGAAGAGGCCAGGGCAGCTCTGGGGCTAGGATATTCCGGGTTGCCCTCAGGGTATCCTGGTCTGTGCAGATAGGACCTCAGCCCTCTGAAATTGGGACTTATAATAGAGTTTAGGTCTCTGTTCTTGCCCAGAATGAATGAATCCATGGGTGCTGGCCCTCCCATGCATGCCAATTGCTATGCTGTTCCCAGAAAATGTGAACCAGTGTACCACGTTTGGTGGAGATGTCCCAAAATGAAAATATATTGGGGAAAAATACATATTGTGATAGAAGATATACTTAAAAGCAGATTTGAATTGTAACCAGAACTATATCTATTAAACATGACACATAAATTAGAATTGAACATAACAAGGAAATATTGAAGAATATTACTTTATATGACCTCGGCAGCAAGAATATTAATAGCCTCCAAATGGAAAAATGAGACAATTCCATCTGTGGATGAATGGCTTTTGAAATTGTCAGAAATGAAGGAAACGGATAGATTGACAAGAATGCTGAATAATGAGAATGTGGAATTAATTGAGGAAGAGTGGGCTCCAGTGATAGAATATTTAAACAGAAAATGGGAATAAAGCAGCAAAATAATTTCAGAGCTTGTTTAATAAAATGGGTGTGAGATGTATAAACAATCAGTTTTAGAGATACAGAAATAATGAATGCAAATTGTGTAAAAAATGCACTTATTTTCAAAGAACTAAAGAGAAGTTTGAATTATGTTTAAGCGTATTGTAAAAATGACAAAAGAATATATTTTAATTGTATTTTTTATTTTTAAAATTGAATAAAATTTTTGAAAAAAAGAAAAAGAAAATGTGAACCAGCGTGATGCAGCGGTTTGAGTGCTGGATTACAACTCTGGAGGCCAGGGTTCGATTCCCAACTCGGCCAGGCAAGCCACTGGGTGACCTTGGGCAAGTCACATGCTCTCAGCCTCAGGGGAAGGCAATGGCAAACCTCCTCTGAACAAATCTTGCCAAGAAAACCCCACAATAGGTCTGCCTTAGGGTCACCATAAGTCAGAAACGACTTCAATGCACACAACACACACACACACACCCAGAAAACAAGGTTGTTTTCTACCTTTGGTTTTCTGGGAGGGGAACTCTACCTACATCATACTGGGAGAAGCACTATCCCATTGCAGGGAAAGAGGTACTGAGCATCAGTTGTTGCATTGCCTTCAGCTTCACACTGCAAACCTAGGCAATGACTGGGTAAGTGACCCATCTAGTGGCTGAAGATGCCCCTTCAAAGACAAAATCATGTTCTAATGAGATTAAATCAATGTGCTTTAATTTTTGCCACCACTTTCAGCACCTGCCTCGGACTGCGGACTGCGGGAGAGATGGATTAGGTAGGGATGATGACAATCTCAAATTCTTTTTGTAGGAATGGATGTTTAAATAATTAATTAAAATTATACTTATAAAAATAAATGCATCAATAATCTCATAATGAATCGAA